AACGATCGAAACGTTTTATCCCTACTTATTTAATATAAGATATTTGAGAAAGTCATTTTTGTAACATTAGGCATTAACTTTATAATTTATAAGTTTATTATTTATAGTTTGAAGAAGTCCTTGGAGTATTGAAATCGTCAGTTTTTTGGTTTTTTTTTTGGCAAACAAGAAGCTTACTCCGAACCATAAAATAAATAATACAATAAAGCTAAAACATCATTTAATTTAAAAAGCTTCAAATTGGTTTGATGAATACAATATCTTATAGATACTATTATCTTAAGGAAAAAATTCGATGAATAATGAATTTTTACAAGAATTGTTTTAATTTTTTATAATTTTAATTCGAATAATGACCCAAACACTGTTTTTATTGTCAAAATCTTTAGTATTAAGAGAAAAGAGTAAATGATTTTTCATTTTTAAATTATATATTTTTCATCCTTTTCTGAACGTCCGAAGTTTGTTTCAAAATCTTTATTTTTTTTTTTTTGGTGCCAGAGCTGCGAAAATTTCCAAACATGTGGACCACAAAAATTTACTAAAAATTTTTTTTTTTGTAACTTTAAAAAACAACATCGATTTGGAAATTTCAATAAATCTAAAAAATAGTATAATTTTTTAATGAAAAATCCAGAACTTATCCACAATGAATAACAACTTTTTTCGTAAATATTTTCATTTTTCAGGAAACTCCTGAAAAATAACGAATATCTGTCAAACGACTTATTTAATTTTGTGACATTTAAAAAAATGGAAAATTTTAAAATCTAACGCATCATACAAATTAATTGAAACAAAAATATAAAATATATTTTAATTTTATGAAAAGACCCTCTCTTTTAATACTTTTATTTCAGTTTCAATTCAAAGCTAATAGATTAAATTCAATATTTCTAATCAGCAAAAAACGTTGCTAAAATCAGCTATATTGACAAATCCGTCAATACAACTTTTTATTAAAAGAACATTCAAAAATAGAATATACTGACAAGATTTTTTTATTTGACGAAGATTAAATGCTGCAAAGTTTAATTAACCTGAATTAAAAGAAATATTATTTACTTTTTGTTTATAATATTTTTCATGAAGATGTTGACAAATTTATTGATAGGTTAATATCTGGTATTTTTATGTAAAGGTTACATAAATTACGTGACGAAAAAAATATAATTTTTCAACTAACCATAAAGTTATAAATATTCTAAGTACTGTAATATTTTACTGAATTTTAGGTACAACTTACAGTGTCTGTACCTTACGAAGACGTTTGTAAAAATATATTTAAAAAAATATCAATAAATTTTAAATTTACTATATATTATATATATATTTTCTGATAATGAACGAATAAGTACAATTCATTTACAAATACATAAAATAAATTCAATATTTTTTTTTAAATACTGGCGGTCGCTGAATTGATAGTAACTGCAATTTTTCCATTTACATCATTAGTAAATATATATTTTTACATTATATATATAATATCAATAATTGTGTGAACATTAAAAGGAAATTTTAAAATTTATAATATTTGTAAATTATTCGAATTAAAATTATAAAAATTAAATAATTATTGTAAAAATTCATTATTCATCGAATTTTTTCCTAAGATAAAATATCAGGATTATAAGATATTGTATTCATCAAACCAATTATTTTTTTAAATTAAATGATGTTTTAGTTCTTTTATTGTATTTTTTATTTTATGGTTCTATATTTGCTTTTTTGTTTGCCAAAAAAAAACACCTAAAAAATTGACGATTTCAATACTCCACTCTGGATTTATTTCAAACTATAAATAATAAACTTATAAATTATAAAGTTAATGCCTAAGAAAAAATGACTTTCAAAATATCTTATATTAAATAAGTCCCCGTTGGATAAAAACGTTTGATCGTATTGTTAAATTCTCCCGGCCTTCTTCAGGTGGTTGGAGAAACAATGGATAAAGACGTTAGTTTGACCAGAACCAAAGAGTGTGGGTTCAATACCCGGTTAAAGAGGTGGAGAAGGTTTTTCAGAGGGGAATTAACAGGAGATAAGATAACTGACATCCATTAAAATGGCACATGGAAAGAACAGTCTACCCCAGCGAGCGAATTAAAGGGTTCAGTTCAGATATTCCAATTCGTCCATCGGCCGAAAAATAAATATGGCAACAAAGATGAGTACAATAGTCCGAATAATGTAAATAGTGTACATAATGCCACATCTCAGAAATATAGACAGATAATAAAAGTTGTAAAAGCAGATATTTTTAAGAGAATTTTCTAAAGAGGAAATGTTTATAAAATAATTTCATTTACTTGTGAATAAGTTCTGAATGTTTCTTTAAAATCTGACAATTATTTGATTTTGCGAGAATTTCCAAATCAATGTTTTTTTCACCACAAAAATGATACTAAAAATTCCTATATTAATTTATGGTAACCTGTTGACGCAAGAAAAATTTTTTTTAACTAAAATTCAATGATTCTAAGAAGGATTAATAATATAATTTACTAATGAAAAATAATTTGTTCTTCCAGTTTAATAATAGCATATTTTGACGATTTTTTTTCGTCGTGTACATTCATTTGGCGGGAACTATACTTTTGGAGCGAAGACAGAAATAAGGACGAATACAGTCAAACAACAGATGACAAATAAATTTGAATGTAAGAGAAACTGGAAAATATCTTAACGACACGTACATGTGTATAAACGTATATGCAAGTATACATTTTGGTACAAATTAATTGAAACAAAATGAATAATTCCATTATTATTTACTTTTTTACCTATTTTCCAATGAAACATGACCCAGTGCACACGTTAATACTTTCTATGTCTATTCCATTAAGTCGTTTTTCTACAGATTGACCATAGATTCTTGACTGGATTTAAATCAGGAGAGTTTTCCGGTTAGTCTATAGTACTTTGATTTGCTCACTGGTAACTTCTTACCAGTGTGTTCGTGCAGTGTTACAATTTTCTTACGCTTTTAGAGTAAATTCCATCGCAAACAATGTCCGTAGGACAACTAATCAACAGTTTAGACATTAGTGTCTGGGCTTTTGATAAAAATCTGATGCAATCACGGATGACAATATTTTTCATCATATACCCCGAAAAAGATTCATATTGCTGCACACTACTGCAAATGACCTAATCTGAGTAAAAAAATAGATCTATTACAGCCTGTCACTTTAGTGAATCTAAAACTGACCGTATGGTGAAATAAAGGAAACAGTTGTTTTTAATTAATTTGCATTGGTAGGTGTATGTATAACAACAAAACACTCTAGTTTCGTTTGACTGATTTAAAATCCAAGAACACCAAAGGGGTCTAATACCGATAGACATAAAAACAAACAAACAAGCGGATTTTGCAGACAAAGACGTGAAGACATTTCCTTGAGTCTGAATGCTGTGGAAATAATAAGGTAATGTAATTTAATTCGATTTAAGGTCATTAGTTATCCTCAGAGATCCCGTGGCGTTTTTGATCGCATGCAATTTTGTCTTTCATTATAACCTGTGGAAACTTAAAGAGAGCAGACGCGAATCGCGTCCTTAATAAATTTAATATATTCACACACACATACAACCAAACACACACACACACACACACACACACACACACACACACACATATATATATATATATATATATATAAACGGGTAAGATGTGAACGAATAGAGTACAATTCTAACATTCGTAACATTTAAGAGTAATCAGTACAAAGGAGAGAAATATTTTTATTTTAGGACATTAAACTGATTAATCGCCTGATGAAATGCATTGATACACATCGAAACACGACTGCAATTGTGTAGCAATCTTGACATGTTTTCAGTGCCATATCCTAATATATATATATATATATATATATATATATATATATATATATATGTGTGTGTGTGTGTGTGTGTGTGTGTATATGTATATATATATATATATATATATATATATATATATATATATGTATATATATATATATATATATATATATATATATATATATATATATATATATAACATAAATTGAATATACGATAAGAGTAACTACTACTTATTAAAGCCAGATTTACTAGTCTGCTAGCCTATATGTGCAAAACCCCATATATACAGGATTATTTTAGCCCTTCGCTACGTCCGATCACGTGATCATGGCGGACGAAAATATTTTTTGGATAATTTTTGCCATCGTTGTGTCTTCCCACTGTTCTTTTCTCCAATTTAACAAGTTTATTTAAATTTATAATTAACCTTCTTTCTCTATAGTTGTTTGATTTTGATTAACATAATCTTAAATACTATTCGTGAACATTCTATAATACTTTTTTATACTTAAACAGCAACTCTGGATTTATTTCCTTTTGATATTAAGTTCATATTTTAAGCCCAGGTGAGGTTATTATACATTCATTCTCATATGCTGCTGAATGAGATGGAGACGGAATAGAAAGGGCGCTTTCATTCTGGGTTCTTCTGGAAGGATTGGCATAGGCGGGGAATGGTTTTTCCCCCGTTGGAGTAAATGCTGTGGTTGTAGTATCTGTTCCGTGTTGCTTGAATCATTCTCTCCTCCTTTGCATTCTCCCCACTGTTGCGTGACATCTGTTACATAGCGGTGGTATTGCCTAACTACGACTAGCTTCGACCAGACTTAGATAAACTTAGACAAACTAGTACCAGCTTAGACCAGCGTAAACCCCAAGTTGAAAACACCTCAGGTCCCCACGGTAAAAACAAACCTTGTGTCCCAACCTGACTCAATGGGGGGTGTTAAGGTAAACCTCAGGAGAAGGAGGAACGACGGAGGTTTTTACCGTGTCCAGGATGAATCAACGCGGGTTCTGTATTAAGTTACAGCCTACTTTTTTTTTGTCTGCCAACTGGACGCTAGTTGAAACTTTCTTTTCCTGTTTCTCAGCTGTTCTTTTCTTCCGGTTTCTTTTCTTCTTCCGGTGCAATTTAATCTTGGAGCCCTCTCAGACTCGCGAATTCTATGTCTACTCCACGGACATGCGCAATCCACCAGTCCATCGGCCAACTTCCTGTGATCAGCTATTAATCCTGGTAACTACTATTATTTGCTGTAATTTCTTTGTTATTTCCCGCGACCAGATATTTGTCCTGACTGTATTTGATAAATCATCAATTACCTCCCTTAAGATCTATTGGAAAGTATAAATCATCAGTTACCTCCCCTTAAGATCTAGGAGATATAAAAAGTAAATAATGTAAATCCATATAGACGAGTAGTCATTTTAAAGTGCAATAAAGTTTTGGTATAAGTTTATTCACTGGTTCTGTTTTTTACTACACTGACTTCAATCGTCTTTGGTCAAATCAAAGGCTTATTCAACGGCCAATCATTTGGTTCCAGTAAACATTTTTCTTATCTACCTCGCCGTTCATTGGTTAATTCCTGCGACCAATATATCCTTCCTGATGTCGTGTTATCGTCTGCTGTAATTCCAGGTAATTCGTGTGACCAGTTGTTTTCTTCTGACATCATTCATCTATGGTCGAAGCAGAAGTTTATACGACGGCTAACCACTTCGCCTCAACGTCTCTAGTATATCTTGCCGTTCATGGTTTAAATCTTGCGGCCAGCTGTCTCGTCCTATCATCAGCTCAGCTTATCCCTCTGGAATCAACGAGTTCGAATTCCTGCCAACTTTTATTCAGCTGTGACTAAGGCAAATTCTGCCTTTTGATGGGCGACCAGCAACCATCACACCATAGACGAATTTCGACGATTGTTTTACTTTGCGAAGATTGTTTATTTACAGTAAAACATCTTTAAGAAGATTATATTGACGGAAATAACAACTTTGATATTCTCGTTGAACCAGCGGCCATATTTTCTAAGTTCAACTATTCCGGTCAGTATCCATTTTCTTGACATCATCCAAATTCAATTTCTGTTTAATCAATAATTAATGTATCAATGTATTGATTAATCAATACTTAATGTATCAATGTATTAATTAGTTATAATCTTAATTATTTTTACACGAACTTGATCTACCCACATTACACATATACACATATAATTTCGTATATGGACTTATATACTGATCTATATATGAGCTCTCGTTAATGTTCATTTTCTACAAGGATCCGGTTATCGTTCATATATGTACATTAACTTTTGAATTTGTGAAATTTCATGTTTGAAACTTTATTTCGCAAATTTTTACCTACATGAACCTCTATTTCAACCTTGTGTCGAATGGAATCATTTGTTCATTCTTCATAAGTTGCCAAAATTTCTTTTCGGTTTAAGTTCGCTAGAAAACTTGTCTGAATCCTGCATTTTTAATTTATTTTGATTCGCAAAATTTTGCAAATAAATTTTGCATTAATTTAATTATCTTCGTTCTGTTGTCCATTTAACCTGTCAAATTCACGTCTTTTATTTTTAAATGTTTGCTGACCTCTTGTGACTCATCTTTATTTGAGCACACAGGTCATATTAACTATTTTATATCGCGCCCATCAAAAATGCATTTACAAAATTATGGGAGGCACATTCCTCAAGCAAAAGGCAAAAGTCCATATAGACATATGTTCGCAAATCTTTCGTTCTTGAGTTATTAAGTTTAAAGAAAGTTTACGGTAGGCGGCGCTGTGTTGTCATGTAGACTAGGTTACATTTCTCATTCGTGTACATTGGTGGCTAGTCTGTCTTCAATGTTTAACGTCTGTAGTAGTGATTTAAATGAATAGTATTCAGTTTAACAATAGCAGGATATTCATATCGTGAGCAGGCAGATATTATTTTTACATACGGCGGTGCGAATGGTAATGGAGGCGAGGCTGCGCGGCTGTATCAGATTGCATTTGCAGACAAGGCAGCCGAGTCACCCAACCTTTGCTTCTGCTTCTCATCGCATTGCTGAGACAGGATCCGTGGCACCATAAACTATGGATCTAGGAAGACCGAGGTCCACTCGTACGTCTGTGTACGAAGAAGATATTCTACAGGAAGCTGGAGAGGATCCAGGTATCAGTCATCTCCTCGTTTGGCCGCCACATGTCGTACATCTTATAGTACTGCATGGAGGGATTACCATTTCTTTCCAAACTCCGTTTCCGTATTATTTTCAAGTGTACAGGCATTTTCAAACCCTCCGGTTGTTTCATCATCGATTGTTTATTGCACAAACCGTCTCTTCAGGCTTTTTATATATATATATATTTATATATATATATATATATATATATATAATTATAATCTAAAAACAGATCTATTTAAGGTTCCATTATAATAATTTATTTCACCAGAACACTTTTTTGGGACGCTGGTTCATCAGATAACTGTGCAAAATAATGAAACGAAAGATGAAATGAAAATTCACACTTTTGATCTAGTCGTAAGTTTATTGATAACCCAAATCCCAGTTCCATTTGTCAAGATAAACGTATTCAATGTCTTTGGGAATAAAGAACCTCCGGCCATTAGTCGAAAGAAATGCCTTGTTAACAACAGAAAAAACGAAATCATTTTAAATAATATTAATACAAAACAATGAAAAGAGGAAGTCTTCTAAATTGTAAATGAGAAGACGGAGAAATCTAAAGCAAATCCTCTGCGTTATTTGTTGCTGGTTGCTTACCTCAGGCTAATATTTGAATCTTCCAATACTTATTTAGTGTTATACAAGATATGAATTAATTCATTTACTAAATGCTACACAAAATATTACGCATTGTTGTATATGCTCTAAAACTAAGGAGTGATTTCAGGATGTTTCCGGTTCATTCTAAGACCTTTTCTTCTCTTTACCTTCCAGTGGACCCTTGTGTCTTGGTGACATTATCAACTTGCTTGGGGGATGCTTCTTTCTCTGTAACCCTGTACATCGAGTGTCTCCTATGCCTTGTACACGCTGAGTATCATTGTAAAAAAAAAACAACAATTTCATCTCATTATTTTTTTTGAATTGATTTGGTTTTTAAACTCTTTCTGCTCGTTATTTAAAGCCAGAACATATTTTTAGATTCGATCAATTTCTTTTAGAGATCAAAATGATCTCCCTGATACAAGTCCAACTAATTAACCCATACCTGGGGGGATAGAGTTGCGGTTATACATTTCCCATCGTTTTTTTTTTTTGTGTGTGTGTAAGTGAATACAACAAAACCGGCCAGAATTAGAACTCGGCTCTCCAATTTACAATTAACCGAGCCGTTACCCATTACACCGTCAGCACATTCATGCTTACGGCAACTGGTATTCCCAATCTGTCACCCATCTAAGTACTGACCAGGCTCGACATTGCTTAACTTCGGTGATCGTATGGAAACCGGTGATTCAGCGTAATATGGCCATAAAGCCCAAATCTATATAGCATATACTACTAAGTTTTTATAAGAGAAAATTCATGTATGTTCCGTGTTCTCCCAGGACTGGAACGTTCATGGTTCTCCACAACATCTTTTCTCATTATGTGCCCTAGAAATTTGAACTGTCGCATTCTGATTCTAAGCATGTGTGTTATAGAGACCCTGTTTCGATTGGCGTTTCTTTCACGTTAATTTCGTTTTTATTCATCACAACTGGCAAGCCATCATTCTGTACTCGTCAGTAAACACCGAAGGCAAATATAATCGCAAAACCCTGAAAATGTTTTTCAATTTACTCAAAATAGAAGATGCAGGTAATCTACAGTTGGAGAACATCGCCTGTGGCTTGACCTGGTGGGGGATAGGTTCCGCCAGGTCGGTTTGCCCAAGACAAGTTATGCATGAATTAATAATACCTCACGAGTTTTGAACCTGGATATGTGGCGGGAAACTGGTCGGGTGTAACAGCAACCCTATGGACACATACGGGGAGGGGATTGATGATGATGATGATGATGATGATGATGAACATTTCCAGTCACCTCTTTTAATTGAACCACCCCATGTATTTAAAACTGAATTGTATCATTACTGTTTAAAAATGCCGTAGACCCTCATTGTTTGTCGCAATTTCACTTTTTCTTTAATGTGTATTACTACGATTGTTAGGGGAAACGATTTTTTTCTTTCTATGTGTCGTGTCCCTTCAGGACGTAGGCGGTCATGGCTCTCCACTTCTCCCTATCCCCTTGTAGCTCTCAATAATTTTCGCCACTCTGCAACCTCCCATACACCATGCTCTGTCATCCACTTGCTCAATCCCGCCATGTATGCTACGCGCTACTTTCCATCTAATCGACCTGTGAGTATCAGAGTCTCCAAGCCCTCCTTTCTCATTACGTATCCCAGAAACTTCAGCTGCCTCTTCCTGATGTTAATTATAAGCTTTCTACTTGTTTGATTCCTCTCCAGAACCTCATCGTTGCTTACACGCTCGGTCCATGATACCCTTAGCATCCTCCTGTAGAACCATACTTTTGTTGTCTCGAGTCTCTTCTTCATCTTTGAGGAGATCGTCGAAATCATTTCCCGTTGCCTATCGCCTTTGGCCAATGTGAACACAAATTGTCTCAGCTAAGATTTAAACTCGGGCTGTCGAGTCCATGTTCTTTGCCTATTAATGGTAACTAATTTCGTTTTTCTAACAACAAAATAAAGCAATACGATGTTGGCGTTAACATTTGATCCTGGAGCTAAGAATATAATCATAGACAGGTGAATATATTGTGTATCACTGTGGCTAACTTCGTTCGCAGAGTAACCTGCCCTTCCTTATGTTCACCGAGCAACTATGTGATGTGTCTTAACCTGGGCGGTCATGGGTCTTCGCAACTTCCTATCGTCTTTGTCCCTTAGCAGTGTTTTTCCCTTTTTCAAGCCTCTCGACCTCGCCATTCCATTCATTCATACAAGCAGGTCAGGTAAGTAGCCGGCTTATCCTCAATGTGTCTTGTTTTCCAAGCCTCCCTTCCTTATGTACCCAAGACATTTCTTTCTATTCCTGATTCTGAGGAGATGTGTTCTTTTTGTTGCCATTTATTTTAGCATTTCGGCGTTTCTTACTCACTCCGAACATGGAATTCTCAGTATCATTCTGTAGAACCAAAATTCTATTTCCCCCGGTTTCATCTTCATCTGTCCATCATTCGCTTCCGTACAATATGATTGAAATCACAAATTCATCGCTCTTTTCTTTGATACTAACGTATTTTTCCTTTACATAGTTTACATTGTTGCTTGCTCGTTTCGGCAATGGAATTCTCAGTATTCTTCTGTAGAACGACATTTCTGTTGCTCTCAGTTCCATCTTCATCTTTGCTGAAATTTTTCAGCTTTCCTTAGCATACAAGTGGATTGATATACCATTGCCATTCATTAAGCGTTTTTGTGTTTCTAAATAGATACATTATTTGGACTATTATCCTCATCTTTGTCGCCATATTTATTACAACGTTTCGGCCGTTGTACGTTCTGGCCTTCTTCAGGTGGTTGGAATGTCGAACTGAACTCTTTATTTCGCTCACTGGCGTAGATTGTTCTTAACCGGGTATTGAACTCACTCTTTGGGTCCTGTCACTTGATCTAACCAACGCCTTTATCCACTGTGCCATGTGTCCTTGAGGAAGGCCGGAACGTACAACGGCCGAAACGTTGTAATAAATATGGCGACAAAGACGAATACAATAGCCTGAATAATGTAAATAGTGTACATAATACCTCATCTCAGAAATATAGACACATACTGAAAGGCCGAAACGTTGTAATAAATATGGTGACAAAGATGAGGACAATAGTACGAATAATGTAAATAGTGTACATAATACCTCATCTCAGAAATATAGACAGATACTGAAAGGCCGAAACTTTGTAATAAATATGGCAACAAAGATGAGGACAATAGTCCGAATAATGTAAATAGTGTACATAATACCTCATCTCAGAAATATAGACAGATACTGAAAGGCCGAAACTGTAAAAGGCGACAATGATGAGGACAAAACTTTGTAAATAAATAGAAATATAGACAATGAAATGAAACGGACAATAATAACTAATAATGTAAATAGTGAATAATGTAAATAGTGTATAATACCTCATCTCAGAAATATAGACAGATACTGAAAGGCCGAAACGTTGTAATAAATATGTCGACAAAGACGAGGACAATAGCCCGAATAATGTAAATAGTGTACATAATACCTCATCTCAGAAATATAGACAGATACTGAAAAGCCGAAACGTTGTAATAAATATAGCGACAAAGACGAGGACAATAGTACGAATAATGTAAATAGTGTACATAATACCTCATCACAGAAATATAGACAGATTCTTAATAGATGTTCCTTAAGATGTCGTCATTGCTTACTTGATGCATCCATGGGATTCTTTGTCTCTTTCACATTTATGTTATTTTCATTTTCCTCTTCATTTATTGTGTGATTGGCCAGCATTTTCTGCCCTACAGGAGGATTGAGATCACATAATAATTCAGCACTCTTTTCTTTATCTCTAACGGAATATTCTGTAAGATTTCTTCATTTTTTACATGCTCCATCCGAGGAATTCTCAGGATCCTTCTGTAGAACCACATTTCTTTTGCTTCGTTTTTTTTCGTTTTTTTTTTCTTTTATCTGTGGGGAGAGTAGCCAGCATTCACCGCCGTCGCAAATCAGCGCCCGTTTGTTTGTTCCTTCCACATTTTGTCCGGTTTATTAAAAAAATAAAAATCACGGCAGAATGCCCGTAAAAAACAAATTGTTCTGAACTAGAAGTGGTTATTTATGTAAATCTGTTCTCCATAGCTGAATAAATCTTTTCGTTTCTCTCGAAATATAATACAACGTGTTTTGTTAGCGTAATGGCGATTGGGATGTTTGAAACTTGATTGATGATGATGAAGTGATGATGGTGATGATGATGATGATTGTTTTGTGGCTGTGTCGGCGAGGAGAATCGGTGGTGGTGGGGGGGCGGCCATTTGATCTGTTTTTCAACCTTTTACTTCATTGCCGGTGACATTTCGAATTTCTTGGCAAGAAAAATCGAAAAGAAAACCTACTAAGAGCGCCCTTTCCCATTTCATCAAGAAATAGACTTGGTCAATGATTGCAATTAAAATCATCACGGCTTTTGATCTTGCACAAACAAGAACTCGCCATATGCTCTTATTTATGGGCGCGAAAGCTATACGTACATATACCTACACAGAGGGGTAGCAGTTCTATCTATCTATCTATCTATCTATCTATCTATCTATCTATCTATCTAAGTCTTTTCGTATCTATCTATCTATCTATCTATCTATCTATCTATCTATCTATCTATCTCAGTCTTTTCGTATCTATCTATCTGTCTATCTATCTATCTATCTATCTATCTATCTGTCTCAGTCTTTTCGTATCTATCTATCTATCTATCTATCTATCTATCTATCTATCTATCTATCTCAGTCTTTTCGTATCTATCTATCTATCTATCTCAGTCTTTTCGTATCTATCTATCTATCTATCTATCTATCTATCTATCTATCTGTCTGTTTCCAATTACACAAACATCTACCTAGAAATATGTGTATATATGCAATTAT